ATTAAAAAACGCGGATGGGGAGAACTAAATAACGACCCTACGTATACGCACTTACGCGCAAACACGCGCGCGTTTGAAAAAAAGAAAAATAACCGTTAAAATTTGTTACCGACGGCGACAAATCGATGTGACACGCGCGTTGACGTTTATGACACTGAACAAAAGGACAGGGAAAAAATAAATAGAGGGGGAGAGGGAGGGGTAAAAGTGTAAAGTGGGAAGTAAAGAGGGAAGAAAAAGGGAGGGGAAAAAATGTTGTAGAGGGGAAACGCGGTTAATTACAAATCACGTTACCACTTCCTTTTACTCCCTTCCTCCCTCTCCTCCTTCCGTTTGCGCGAGTTATTTGTCTCCTCCCCACTCCTCCCCCTTCCCCTTTTTCATTTTTTTCATTACGTGCGTTCATGTTTCCATTAAATAATTACTTCCTACAGGTTTTTATCATCGTCAATAAAATACAAAATGGAGGAAAAGAAGAAGAAAAAGAAAGAAAAAAGTCAAAAAATTAAAATAAAACAAAGAAGACGACAGAAAAATAAAAAAAATTTAAATAAAGCAAAAGCAGAAGAAAAGCAGAAGAAAAACAAAAAAGAAAGAAAAAAGAAAATGAAAAAAAAAAAAACTTTTCCGAGATTTTTTTTTTGTTTTTTACCCCCTCTTTTCCATTTTCCTTTCACCCCCTCTCCTCCCTCCCTTCTTCCACCCTCTCTACCACCCATCGCCGTTTCGACTCTTTGAAAATTTAATTTTTTAAATGGGATACACGAAAAGGAACGGAAAAGATGAAGATGAAGAAGATGAAAAAAAAAAAAAAAAGAAAAAAAAATTTCAACAGGTCGACGACATTTAAAACGAGAATAAAAGAAAAAAAGTGGAATGAGAGAGAGAGAGAGAGAGAGAGAGAGAAAGAAAATCTTTTTCTCTACCGCGAACATTGTAAGAGAGAGAGAGAGAGAGAGAGAAAAGATGAGTGAGGGAGGGGAGGGAGAAATGAAAGTTAATAAACGAAAAAACGGAATTAAAGTGATGAAGTGGACGGAGGGTGGGAGAGTGGGTGGGGGGGGGAAACGAAAGGCAACAATCAAAAGTGGGATGAGTGTAAAAAAAATAAAGAGGGGGAGGGGAGGGGGAATTATTTGATTGGTAACAATGAAAAATGGGATGGGATGGGGTAAAACGAAGGGTAAATGAAATTGAGATCCCTTATTAATTCCTCTCATTCTGTTAATTTTATTCCCTTATTATTATTATTATTATTATTATTATTATTATTATTATTATTATTATTATTATTATTATTTTTCTTTTTTCACGATCTCATTGAACGATACTCAAAACAAAAAAAATTATTACGTAATTAAAATTAATTAATTAATAATTATCATTATCATTTTAAAAAAAAAACGGTCAAATGAAAATTTTTTTTTTATTTTCCCGCCCCCTCCCCTCCAAATTTTTTTCCCTGTTTCCACGTTCGAATTTCATTTGTAGAAAAAAAAAAATTTAATCCGACGGTAGACGTGGCAAAAAGACAGCAAAAAAAAAAAAAATTAACTTCGGCAGACGTGGCAGGAAGACAGAAAAATAAAAATGACGTCACTTTTTTATTCTCATTCGAATACATGATTTCTAATATTATTATTAATATTATTATTATTACTCCCCGCACCCCCCCTCGGATCAAAAAAAAAACCGATCGAACGTGAAAATTTAAAAAATAATAATAATAATAAAACGAAGGGTTATAATTTTTTTTTGTTCACACCATCACCACCCCCTCCCCTAAGAACGAAATCACACTAAACACCCCTTCTCCTCCTCCTCCTTCTTCCCCCCAAAGAAAAAGAAAAAAAATCAAACCAACGGTAATTTTTTTGTGACGTAACAACCAAACGAACGAATTTTCCGAACGTAATTTTTCAAACACTCCGAACAAAATAAGAAAATCACTTAAAAAATAATAATAATGATAATAATAACAATTGTAAAAACGTTCGGGGAAAAAAAGAGAAACAGAAAATTTTCACGAGAGAAAGTTAAAATTGAAAAAAAGAAAACCGAACGGGAAAGCATCAACGGTTCAACTAACTGTAAAACCTGTTACGCCGTTCCTATGAGAAACGGAAAAACGTTTTCCCCCCTTCCTCTCTTCCACCTCCTCCACCTTCTCCTCTGTCTCTCCGTCCGGAGTTTATCATAAAAATTTATATTAAAATTACTCTTGCGCGTTCGGGAAGGGTGGGGAAAGGGGGAGGGGGAAAAACAGATTTTTTTTTTGTTTTATGTCATTTCGTTGGAACTTTTGTCAAAATCGTTACCAACGTTCGAAAAATGAAATATTAACAAGAAAAAAAAAAAAAAACAATTTCGAACGTAATACGTTCGGGTATGGGGGAGAGGGGGTATAACAGAGAGAGAGAGAGAGAGAAACCCCCCAAAAAAAATTTTCACATTATTATTATTATTATTATTATTATTATTATTATTTTCTCAATCTCCGTTCGTCCGTCAGAAAATGACAAAAAAAAACATTTTAGTTCGTTTTAATTTTTTTCTTTTTTTTTTAATTAAAAGCGAACGGCAATAAACGAACGTTTAAAACGAATTTAAATCAAATATTATTATTATTATTATTATTATTATGTAAACAATTCGAACGGTTATTTTATCCCTGGCAAAAATACAAGCAATTAACTTTTTTTTAAAAAAAAAATTTCCCGTTCGCTTTTCCCTCCTTTTCCTCTCCCCTCATCTCCCCTCATCTCTCCTCCTCCCTCCCCCTCGTAAATCGTTTTGTAAAAGGCGTTCGTTTCACGCGTTTTATTTTAATGTTAATAAATAAATAAACAAACAAACAAATAAACGAACGAACGAACGTACGAGAGAAAGAAAAAACAAACAAACGTTCGAAAATAAAAATGAGAAATAAATAATTAATAATAATAATAATAATAATAATAAATTATTGAAAACAAAATTTAATAAAAATCGTGTCATTAGTAAATAATCAAAAAAAACACCCCTTACATCTCTCCTCTCTTTTCTTCTCCCACGTTCAAATCGCTCAAAATCTTTTTTAATTCGTAATTAATTCGAATTTGAAAGCAGAAGAAGAAGAAAAAAACGAACGTTAAAATTTTTTTTTACGTCGTCGTGTCACTAGAAAATTCGTTTTATTTATCGAATGTTTTTTGTCGTCGTCGTACCTTCATTCTTTTCTATTTTTTTTTTTTTTTTTTTTTTTACAAAATATTATTAATAATATCGATTTTCTTTTCTCTAATAATAATAATAATAATAATAATAATAATAATAATAATAATAATAATAATAATAATAATAAAATTATCGAAAAAAAAGAAAACTTTTAACTTTTTAATATATATATAAACTTTTCATATCCGCCATTTTGTTTTTTTTAATACTTAATAACAACTATATATATATATATTATTAAAAAACTTTTCCTTTTTCCTTTTTTTTTTTTTTTTTTTTTTTTTTTTTTAAATGATTAAATTCTTACGATGGTTAAAATAATTTCCGACAAAGTAAACAAACAAACAAACAAACGGGGGAGCAGTGGGCGAAACGACAACTTCAAACAAACAGTAATAATAATAATAATAATAATAATAATAATAATAATAATAATAATAATAATAATAATAATTTAATTTTTCCGTTATTGATTTCTATTTATTTATAAATATATATTATTTTGTTTGTTCGTTTGTTGTTGTTGTTGTTGTTTTAACGTGTTCGTTATTGACGAACACACAAAGCTTTCCTTTTGTTTTAAATATAGTAACAAACGTGTGGGTGGCGCGAGAGGGAGGAGGGAGGGAGGGAAACGATAACGGAAAAAAACAACAAAAACAAACAACCGTTTTTGTTTGTTTGTTTCTTTGTTTCCGATGCGTTTTTGCAAAAATATATAAATATATAATCAAATTCGAAAATATCTTTTCGAGACGAAAATAATAATTTTTTTTCCTGCCTTCCCTTTCTTCCTTCCTTCCTTCCTCCCCTTCCGCTTTCCCCCGCCCCGGTTATAAATACGTTTTCAAAAAGTTATATATATATGTATAACAGAGAAGAGGAAATAGTTTCGGGGTAACGGAAATTTCAAAAAAAAATTTGTTTCATTCCTAATGACGTCATTCAAGAAACTAACCAATCAGATGTGAGAACGATGAAAATGAGTTGGAAATTTATTTTTCTTTGTTTTTAAATTTGAACGCAAGAGCGCGCGCGAGAGAGTTATTTAAGAAACAATTTCCCGCCATTTTTTTCTTTTTTCTTTTTGAAAAATTAACGAAATAATGATACGTTAACGAAAAATTTTCACAAAATTTATTTATAGGGATATAAAAAAAAAACGAGAGAGAGAGAGAGAGAGAGAGAGAGAGAGAGATAGAGATAGAGAGAGGGGGGGAGAGAAAAAAAGAAAAAAAATCATAGTCGAAACGGTTTTTCTTACAAGGTAAAATAACGCCTTAGTAAACATGTTTAGATAATTTCACGACACGAATCCGTTTACTTTTTCCCCTTTCCCTAATTTTCACGTAATCCCAACACTCGATTCGTTTTTTTAAAAAAAAAAAATTTACGGCAAATTAAATACGCGCGCATTTTCCTTTTTTTTTTTTTTGTACTCCTCTTAAAATGATGCAAATGGCCGAAAATAGATTTTTCGGTCTGCTAAAAAAAAAAAAAATGTAAAAATATTTTCGTCTGCTTTCAAAACCACCGCACACACACACACACACACACAAACACGTCTGTGTAAATATTTATTATTATTTATTACTCGAAAAGTTTTCTAAAAAAAAAAAAAATGAAATGAAATGAAAAAACGAACGGAACATTGATTGATTGATTTAAAACAACAACAACAACAACAACAAACGTACAATCGTACAAATAATAATAATAATAATAATAATAATAATTATCGTTTATAAAAAAATTGAAAAGAAAAAGAAAAAAACGAAATAAAAATGCCTACCATTGACATGACGCATAGGAAATTAAATTTTCCACCGAGATTTTTACCATATTTAGAAAAGCATAGAATATTCGAATTGTTTCACGTGAGTTTTATCATTATTATTATTATTATCATCTTTTCATTCTTTTTCCAACGGTCAAATTCCAAAACGTTAAGAATCGAATCGAACTGCGAACGCGTACCCGTATGCGAAACATTCAAAACAAAAAAGCCATCGATCGTTGTACCCTCCTCATCATCATCATCATCATTATTACTATTATTATTATTAAATTTCATTAGGAATGCTTAGAATTACTAGTTCAAAACAAACCGAGAGACCATGTTCAATTTCTTAAAAACATACTACCCTGCGCATCAGAGAAAAGAAACAATCCAAGAGTCGTTTTTCTCTCACCACCCGGATTCGGTTCGGTCCATATATATATTTGAAATTTTCTAGACCTTTCTATCCTCGTATCGATAGCTCGTATTTCGCGTGATGTATTTCAGATCGTGAATATTTTGTCGACGTCCTTTCCGAAAATCTAAACGTTCAACCCGTGACGAAAGAATACGTTACAGAGCTCACGAAATCGAACGTCATCAAGGAAGGGATAATAGTTAGAAAATCCGAAGAAACATTAGAAGAAGAGAGTTGCATATGTCTCGAAGAGGGTAGCGAATATCAATTAAGAAAATTTTCATTTCCGTTATATTATGCCGAACAGGAAGAATACATACCTGCCGAAGAAGTCGAAGAAGAATCCGAACCGGAACCGGAACCGGAACCCGGAGCCGGAACCGGAGCCGTACCGAAACCCCCCGTCGACTCCGAAGTATTTTTCAAAATAATAATCATTTGTATATAATTTTTTTTTTCTTTGATGACGTCATTAAAAACGTCGCTTTTAGAAAGAAAACATTTGCGTTTGTCCATGCGCAGAAAGAGAAAAAGAAAAACAGCAAAAAAGAAAAATTGAAATTCCAATAGATTTAAATTTATCGAACGTTGATGCCGCCGGTACAACACAACAACAACAACAACAACAGCAACAACAACAACAACAACAACAACAACAACAACAGCAACAACAACAGCAACAACAACAACAACAACAAGAACAACAACAAGAACAGCAAGAACAACAACAAGAACAGCAACAAGAACAAGAACAGCAACAACCACAACAACATGAAGAAGAAGAGGAAGAAGAAAAAGTTAGAGACGAAGTCGAAACGGATGACGTATCCGATGGTATAAGCGAAGTGAGAAGGGTGTGTATTTTCTCAGTTACGGCGAATGTATTTGTTAAGACGACAATCCAGTCGCCATTTTGTTTTTTGTATTTGTTCCAGGATCAATATTCATACGAATCGGAAGCAGATGAAGAAGAATCCGTGATCATCGAACCCGATTACGGACTTTTAGCAAATTGCGAATTATCCGCAAAGGGATGGATACTCAAAAGTAAGTACACGATCCATCATCCGTCTATTCACTCTCATACACTTCGATGATGATAATAATAATTTGACGGTTATTTAGATTTCCCGTTGACGGGTGAAGACGCTGAAAAATTATGCAAACTCGGAGTCATACCCACGCACGCCATTAGAATAATAATTGACGAAAAAAAAGAAGCAGAAGACAAAGAATACAAATGGATTGTTAAAAATTGGACGAAAGTTTATAAATTCGTACCCGTTATGGTAAGGTTATTCTGCTCTCTCTCCTCCTCTCCCTCTCTCTTCATTCCTCTCCTTCTCTCTCTCTCTCTCTTTATTCCTCTTCCCCCTCTCTCTTTCTGTATCCTTCTCTTCTCTTCCTGCTTCTCTCTCTTTCTTTTACCCTTTTCTCTCTCTCTCCTTTCAGTATCCTCCTCTTCTCTCGCTGCTTCTTTCTCTTTCTTTCTATTTCCGTAGCACCTTTCTTTTAAACATTTAAGTTTTTCTAAATTCGATTAAACGACGTTTATCGAACAGGAAATCAAAATGGGCAACAGATCAATTGCGCAATTCGCGGCGGATATGAGAAAATTGCTGTCGGTAATGCCGCACAGGCATCCTCCGATGTTACCGAGGATAGTTTTGATAGGATCCAGAGGTTCTGGCGTCACGACTCAAGCTCAAAAACTATCCGCCAAATATGGATTCGTCCACGGTATTTTTTTTCTTTTTCTAATGCCACGATATTATTTTTAAATCGTTTCCTTTTCGCAGTCGAGTACGATATCTTGATAGCAAAAATTTTACAACAAGAAGAAGACGAAATAGTTAAATTATACAAGCGACAACTCGCAACCCGAGTAGAACCGGAAGTCGAAGCCGTTATCTTAGAGGTGCGATAAATTTATAAATATGGGAAACGAAAACGCGATATGTTACCGCATCCCCTTCCTCCCTCTTGCATTCCTTAAAATCTTTGTTTATATTTTCGACAGAAAGCATTACTCACGACAGGATGTCGTAATCGAGGATGGATATTAACCGGATACCCGCGAAACATAGATCAAATGAGAATGTTGGATGTGATAGCAACGCCTCCAAACAGGTACGACCACGCCAACAACAACAACCAAATTAACAAACGTGTCTCTTGTTGACATTTAAAAAAAACTTTTTCCTATTTTCGGGGCACCCGCCCTTCCCCTCCCCGTCGAACTATTCCGTAAACTTTTACGCAACCGACGCCGACGCTTTTCAGGATAATTTTTTTGGAAGTTCCAGCAAGAGAATGTTTCGTACGTTTGTTCTATCGTAAATTCGATCCTTGTTTGGGAGAAGAATATAAAATTCCAAAAATTCAACCCTTCGGTTTGGATTCGTACAGGACAGAAGGTATCGAACCGGAAGTTGCCGAAAGACTCTTAACACATCCGAAAAATAACAAAAAACAAATCGTTCACGACATAGAAGATTATTTCATCGAAAAAAAGGTAAAAGAAAAAAAATTTCCCCTCACGCATTGCCCCCACTCTCACTTCCCCCAACCAACTTCGAAATTAACAAAAAAAAATTTTTTTTTTTTGGGGGACCAATGTTACATCATCAATGTATAACATCAGGACATGATGTTATACTGTGGAAAAACTGCGTCTTACGTCGACGGTAACCAAACCGTCGACGTAGTTTTCGAATTCATTGAAAAAATAATAATTGATCCCGCACCGCCACAACCCCCCAGGGATCCCCACGCCATCAATTACGGTATAGACGAATCTTATAGGAGACTTAAAAAATTCCGTTTGGTACCCGGAATGTTTTTGAACAACATGGTGCTCAATCCGCCGGAAAACAAAGGATACGTGTGACGTCATTCAAATAAGAAAAAAACAAAATGGCGTTTTTGCTTACCTGCTAGATGACGTTCCGATTGCGATCTCGGTTGTTTGAGAACCTGCCAAAACAAACAAACAAACGACAAATTAAAACTTTTTTTTTTTTTTAAACAAACGGTTAATTTTTTTTTTTTTTTTAAACTCACGGATTTTTTCGAATGTTCCTCCATCTTGATGAAATCCTTTTTTGTCGGTAACGGATCCCTCATTATAACGGGTGCCGATGAGGATTTGTTACCCAAATCGGAAGTCATCGGGGATCCAACGAGTTTTAATGAAGCCGTAGATGGTGACGAGGGTTGTTGTTGTTGTTGTTGGTCTTGTTGTTTTTGTTGTTCGCATTCCGTCGGACTTGGAAGTGATCTCACCGTTAATGGTGATATGCACAAATGTTGCGGACGGTTGCTTCCACGATTTTTTTCATGCGGAAGTGATTTGACGTTCGAATCGGTCGTAATTGTATAATCGTTCTTTGGTCTCGGCGGTAGCCCCTGTATGAGTTTATCATCGAATTGATCGTTTTCTAACCATTTCATAACGTTCGACGACGACGTTGTTTGTTGTTGTTGTTGTTGTTGTTCTTCCTCTAAAATATCTTCGTACGACCCGTCGCCGCGTTCTTCTTCGTGCGTTTGCGTGTACACGCTTTCCCGTCTTATCCAAACGTCGACTTCGTCCGAATACGATCTTTTACCAAGTCTAAGAAGTTCGGAATCTCGTCTTCGAATTTTTTCCCAAGTTTCTTTTCTCGATAGTTTTTGTCGTTCTGAAAAATAAAACAAAAACGGGTCAATCGAAATTGAACGCACGAGAGGGTGTGGGTGGGGGAAGAAAACAGAAATTTAAAAATGTTTACCTTTGGTGTCTTCTTCTTGAGTCGCATCTCCCGAATCTCTCGAATCTTCCGACGAATCCCTTGAACCCGTCGTCATGCAATCGCATTGACTTTCGCAACCGTTACCGTGATGGGATATGATCGGAGAAGATGACGAGGATCTACCGGAGGACGACGATTTTTCGTCGTTTCCTCCGGATAACGATCCGGGAGTGTTTAGTATTATGGAAGATGAACAATCGGACATCCAAGTGAAACTTGAACTTCGCGAGAGAGGCGGTGACGTTTGTGTCGCAGTGCTTACCGATGACAAAATGGCGTCGAGAGAATCTTCGACGTCACCGACGGAACTGTTCATTGTGTTGAAACCGGAAGATGCGTCACTTTTCAATTGCAAAGGACTCGATGGTCTCGTTATTCCGACGGGTCTTATCTTTGTTAAAAAATTTTGCAAACCCGCTGGAATTTTACGATCGGAATTTTTTTTCCTTTTTGTCGGTATCGGGGGTGGCATGGAATCAACGTGTCTCCCGTAATTGTCTTCTTCTCCTTCCACTTTCTTTATGCTCGAAATTTCTTTTTTTACTCTTCTACCAAACGGTGATGTGCTTCTGAAAAATTCTTTTATACCCATCGGCGATGGATTTCTCCTTTGTCGCCTCGGCGGAAGTGAAGAATCCGATCCGCGTCTTTGACTACCATCAATGGCGGCGGTTCTCACCTTGATGACAACTCCATTATCGTTCCCGCGTTCGTCGTCGTTTAGACTCGGTGTCGAACCATCTGAATAATTCCTTCTCAAACATCTCGAATTTCTTTTTAAACTTCCGGTGCTGCTGTTACTATCCGTACTCGCGGATGAATCCGAATTCGGTGACGTCGATGAAAATTCTTGATTGTTGTTTCCTCCTCCTCCTCTTTCTTCTTCTTCTTTCATGGCTTCCATTTTCAATTGGCTCAATTCCATAGCTATCAACTTTTCGAAATCCGCCATCAAACCATCCGACCATTCTTTTTCTTCGTTTGTTTTTCCTTTCTCCGACGAAAACGAGTAGGCGTCTTTCATCATCGGTCTTTTCCTTCCGTTTCCGTCGTTTTTATTTTTTTTCGACGGTAGAGATTTCGATTTGTAATAATTCAAATAATCGTCTCGAATTTCTATCGATTTCATTTCTTTCGATTTTCTCTTTCCTTGATTATTTCCGTTGCATGCTACGTTTTTGATTTTATCATTTCCGTACGGTGGCGGAGGTAGCGGCGGCAGCGGCGTACCATTTTGCGAACTGATCCCTCTACTTTGTTTTAATTGTGACAATTCCGAACTTCCGAGCCATCTTTCGAATACCTCACCGAATTCTTCCTGTAAGAAAACAAAACAAACAAATAATAATAACATAAAGATAATAATTAGGAAAGAGGAGAGAAAAGAAAATGTAATGATAATAAAACAACAACAACAACAACCACAACAACGTCGCACAGTCTCGATCGCATGCAAAATATTGCAAAAGGAAAACCAAAGACATTCAACATTCCATTTTAGGTACGAGAAGAAACCAACAAACAAAGTCTTGCATTGTATATACACATGCTTCGCACGCGGAGGCGGCGGTTGGTTGCGCGGCGGTTGTTGCATCTGGTTGTTAAAAATGCGACACACCCTTTTGTCTTTATCTTCATTCTTCGAGAGCTTCTTGTCGACGACGGTTAATTTGACCTCGTTTGTCTTTTTTTTATATTTATCTCCCCACATCTCTCCAATTTTGAATAGATTTTTGTGTTCGTTTTCAAAGTGGGGGGAGGAGAAGGGAAAGGTGATGGTGGTGGTGGAAACGTCTGTTCGTCTGATGACACGGATTTCATAATGCGCCGCCGTCGTTTTATTAATATTCCACGTAAAATCATCAAATTTGTTACGACATTCGTTTTTTTCTTTTCATCCGACCTTGAAAATGGAATAATAATAATAATAATAATGCGTTACACCCGCCGTCGCTACCGCCACCGCCGACGACGACGACATTTCGACGGTTAATTATCGTAACACTTGTTATCATCTTTCTCTCTCTCTCTCTCTCTCTCTCTCTCTCTCTCTCTCGCATCTTCATCATTGCGTAACATTATCGGTCACGTTTGTTCGTTCATTAATTATTTATTAATATTAATAATAATAATAAAATAAAATTAAACGTTTACGCGTCATAACATTTTAAAAAAAAAAATCTAAAACCACGTCAATCAAACAAACAAACAAAATTTAACAACAATAATAATAATTCATAACTCACGACGAAATTCTTCGAAACGATCGTAATGAATCATCGTAATAAGATTTGCGGTTTAACCGTGGAAGGAGACGAAATCGAAATGAGCGACACAAACCGTTCGTGACACGCATTTACGCATAAATAAAATTATACATCAATTTTTTTTTCTTTAAACACGACACTAATGGCAAACATTTGAAAAAAAAAAATTTGTCGACTCGAATGGGGGGTGACTTATTTTCACAATCGATTATATTACTAACTGCTGCCACGAAGGTCTCTCCGAGTCCAAGGTTTCCGTCGGGGGGGGGGAAAGAATTTCATGTATTTAAGAGTTCATTTGGGGAGTTCACCACGTGTAAAAATAAATAGGGCCGAAACGTTTTTTGTCTTCTTCCTCCTTCTTTAACTTCTTCTCGTACCTGAAAATTTTCTTTTCGGTTTGTTTTTCCCTTTGTTTTATACAATAGATTTCCTCTTCCCTCCCCCATCTCCTCCCTTCCTCCTTCTTCTTCCCCGTTTAAATTAATAATGACTTTCGATTACGACCGAACGTATGTATGGGGAGGAATATCACTTTTCCGAGTATTTTCCGTTCGTTTTTTTATTATTATTATTGTTTTGTCTGCTTCCCCTTCGTCTTCTCCTTCCTTCCACTCTTCTTTCCTTCCACGACGAGATTTCTTTTATTTTTTTTGTCATTTAGCCAACGTGTGCCGATTCTTGATATAATTTTAACTTTCTTATCCTTGACCTACTACAAACTTTTTCTCTCTCTCTCTTATCATCACCGGTTATCGGAATTATAATTTCTTATCTGTGTTTGTTTGTTTGTTGCTTTCGTGCTTTCTCGCACGTTTTTTTTTTTTTTTTTTTTTTTTTTACGAAATACGATTCGTGTATTTCATTACATATACGTCGAAACGTTCGACGGTTTTTCATTCATCATTTTTTTCCTTTTTTCCTTTTTTTTGGTACGGAAACCACTGACGTGACGTTCACACCGCAAATTTTTCCAGTTTTAAAATTATTATTATTATTATCATCATCATCATTATCTCCCCTGGATAAAATATTATTATAATGATTTTAATATAAAATATTTTTCGTTTGTTTTATTATAAATCCTTCCGACCGGAAAATTTAGCAATGTTAATAATAATAATAATAATAATAATAATAATAAAATGAAGTAGGAAGGGGAGGGGGAAAAAGGAAAAAAGAGAAAAGGAAAACAAAGGAAAATTTTTATTTTATTTTGTTTTCCTCCATTCGATTTATATTTAATTAATATTTTAATTATTCGTTTCCGGAATTAGAGGGAGGGTGGAAGTAGGAGTGGGAGTGAAAAGAAGGAAGGTGATTTTCTTTTGTCACCGTCTGAATTTCCGGGAAGGGGGCGGGAGTAAAAATCGTAGAATTAATATTTTTTTTTTTATCGTCAGTCTGACGAGAAATTCATTAATTAATTTGAAAACGTTTTTCTCTCTTTCTCGCTCTCTCTCTTTTCCTGGAGAAATCCTTTCTGTATCCGTTCTTGGAACGAACGTTTAAATTTTTTTTTTTTCCTTTAGGCTTTAAACCCGTTCGCGAACGTTCGAAAATGAATTATTAAAAAAAAAAAAACCTTCGCGAAATTTCTCTCGTTAATTAATTTTTTTTTAAAAACGTTCGAGTAAATATTGCGATATCAAGCGAACGGTTGTTTGGTGAAAAAGTAAAAGACTTTAATATTAATAATAATAATAATAATAATAATAATAATAATAATAATAATTTTGTTTGTTGTTTGTATAATATACAAACGTAAAATTCGATCTCGAAATAATATATTTTTTTTTTCCTTAAAGTCTTCCTCCCCATTTCCTTATCATTTCCTTCAGATTTTAAACCTTGTTGCATTTATTATTATTATTATTATTATTATTATTATTACGTTTACATCTAAAAGAGTTTTTCCTTCTTCCACGTCATACGTACACGTTCGAACGTATTTTAAATTAATAATAAACAAAAAAAAAAAAAAAAAACTCTGGAAAAATTTTATATGCAAAAAAATAAACAAAAAATACAGTGTTGACATCTTTTGGTCAAATTTTAAACTTTTAAACGTTTGGTTTAATTCATAATTTTTCCGCTAGTCGTTTTGTTTTCTTTTCAAAATTTTCAAATTTCCCGCGTTTTTTTTTCCCCTTTCATTCATTACGAAATTATCATAACCGCCAACGCGGCTTCTTGTTTTTTTTTTTTTTTTTTTTTTTTTCTCAGTTTAATTGTCAAATTATATTGGCAAAATTATTATTATTATTATTATTACAATTTTTTATTATTTACGCAATAATTCATATATTTTGTTTTGTCGCCATTTTGTTTTTTTGTTTTTTATTATTGCGACGACGACTACGACGTTCATTATTCGAAGATTTACACGTTATAAAATTACTCATGTGACTCATAAACATCGCTTTAACCAAAGTCGTAGGCGTTTTATTATTATTATTATTACTATTATTATTATTATTACTATTATTATTATTATTTTCTTAGAAATGAATAATTTACTCTTGTTAAAAAAAAAAAAAAAAAAAAAATTATGATGAAACCTCATCCGTTCGCTCGTTCGCAAAAAACGCAAAAAAAAAAAAAAATTTTTTTTTGTTCGCATTCGTTTCCTTGTTTCCATAAGCAAGTTAAAGAGATATAAGATATCTAAGTACAGATGTTGAGATTTAATTACTCAAAGCAGAAGAAAATAATATTATCATCATCATCGTACTTGATGTAGATTAGAGAAAAACTTACATTGACTTTTTCCAAATATAATTCCAATTCTCTGTAAGGATCCGAACCGGAAATGACTCCGGCAGCTCTTTCGTCCGGCATCACGAGATTAGGCCCTATATCGGCCATATTTAATTATCATCTGAGTTTAAAGACTCTTCGACTTGTTTTTTTAACCATCATTCTGAAACCAAAAAAAAAAAATTAAAATTAAAAATATATTTATTTACAATACATCGTGGCAGGATAATTTTTTTTTTTTTTTTGGGAACAGACACTCGAAAATCTTCGCGCGAAATTTTCACCATTAAAAAATTGAATTTGTGTGTGTGAGTGTGTGAGAAAGAAGAAGAAAAAGAAAGAGGAGAAAAGACAGAATAAATGAAAGAAAGAGAAAGAGAAAAAAAGAAAAGGAAGGATAAATGAGAGAAAAGGAAAGAAAAGAAAAAGATACAAAAACAGAAAAATAAGAAAGAGAGAGAAAAGAAGGAAGAGGAAGAAAAAAAGAAAGGAAAAGTAAAAAAGAGAGACAAAAAAAGAGGGAAGAAAGAGAGACGGAAAGAAAGAAGGAAGGAGAGAGAAAATAAGAAAAAAGAAATAAAAGAGAGAGAGAAGAAACAGAGGCAGAAAAAGAAAGATAAGAAGAAAGAGAGAGAGAGAAAAGGAAAGAAAAAAAGAGAAAGAGAAACAGAAAGAGAGAGAGAAGAGAGAAAAACGAGAGAGAAGGAAAATGAGAGACAAAAAGAATGAGGAGAGAGAGAGAGAGAGAGAGAGAGAGAGAGAGAGAGAGAGAGAGAGAGAGAGAGAGACGGAAAAGAAAAAAATTCGGAGGAATGAGTCAGAAAACAATCAATAATCAATAATCATTATTATTAATATTATTATTATTATTCTATTCGGCAATTAATCATATAATAATAAACAATAGCCAACAAACAACAACCGACGGAATATAAAGACAAGGAAAGATTGAATTATTATTATTATTATTATTTTTTTAATAAAAAAAAAATCATAGAAACGCAATTAAAATAATAATAATAATAATAATAATAATAATAATAATAATAATAATAATAATAATAATAATAATAACAAAGACAACAAAAGACGAGTTGTTCGCGCGAATCGATACAAAAACTTTTTTTTGTCTTTTGACACGTTCATTTGCAAATAATAATTAAAACCAACGTCTTAACGTCGATCGATCTCATTCATACAAAAAATCATCATTATTATCATTATTATTATTCAGACATCTTTTCGATTAGTTTTAATAAACATTTCAACCAAAAATCGGAATCGCGAATCTTCATCATCATCATTCTCCTCCTCCTCCTCCTCCTCCTCCTTATTCACTACTGCCACGTCATTTTTTTTAACGTTTCTCCTTTTCGTTTTTCCCTTCTTTTTTTTTATATATTCATTATTATTGTTTGCCATTAGAAGAAAATCAGATATGATTCTTCTTCTTCTTCTTCTTTCCCCTCCCCTCCTCCCTCCCTCTCTCTCTTTCTCTCTCATTATATTTAATTACGAACAAATCACGGTCCAAAACTTTTTTTTTTTTTTAAATGAACTCCATTTTATTTTTTTCGTTTTCTTTTTTTTTTTTTTTAGCAGACGATGTTTAACATCACCTTCGTTTTTTCTTCTTCTTCTTCTTCTTCTTCTTCCTCCTTAATCCCCCGACTTAACCTTTTCAATAAATGATACAAAAAAAAAAAAAAAAAAAAAAAAAAAAACGCGACCTCACTTGTCTTCTCTTTTAATATATTAGTTTTTAAAAACATTCACAGTCTCTCTCTCTCTCTCTCTCTCTCTTCCTCTTCCTCTCCCTTTTCCTACCTTCCCCCACCCCTTCTCTCTGAGAATCATCATCATTATTATTAAACTAAAACAAATTTTGCATGTTCACGTGTTCAAGGTCAATAATAAATCACATTAATGGGCATCGTGTTGGAAGAAATGTATAAAACATCAAAGCTTTTGACACGAAAAGAGAGAGAGAGAGAGAGTGCGTGCCTGTGTATATGTGAGAAAATGAAGAGAGAGAGAGAGAGAGAGAGAGAAATGCCGTCAAATTCGACATGTTGTTATTGATAAACAAATGATAATAGAGAAAAAAAAACACGAATGGAAACGAATTCGTCGACATTTTTTTTTTTTCGATAAATAAATTTTAAAACGTTTTAAAATTAAAGTGGAAATAGACAGAATGAAAACCAAAAAAAAAAAAAAAAAAAAAAAAATTTTCGACTCACGTTCTTCTCCTTCTTACACGTTCACAAAATGTCCAATTACTATTATTATTATTATTATCATTGTCACGGTTCGCGATCGTAAAGGCCGTTAATTTTTTAACTCGTTTCCCATCATCTTCTGCAACCACCTCCTTTTTTCTCTTCATTTTCGTCTCTTTCTCGCATAACACGGCAAAAAAAACTAATAAAAATACAAAATTTCGTAGAGCGGAACTATGGTTCTTTTAATTAATTATTTCAATTGAAATTAACGTGGCACTAGATGTAAAAAAAAAAAAAAAAACGTTTGAAGGCACATGAACGGTGAAGGACGTCGGCGGCGGCGACGGCGGTAAAAGCGCACGCACGTGTCTTTAGGGGAAGCAAAATTTACGATTTTTTTTTTGTTTCCTCCAATCGTGGGAAATTTAAAAAAAAAAAAAAAAAAAAAAAAAACAGTTTCGGCCATTTTCTTTTTCTTCTTCTTCCACTTCGTAATATTATTATTATTATTATTATTATTATTATTATTATTATTATTTTTCTTCCGGCGATTTATTATTATCACGTTTTCGCTCCATTTTGATTTATCACATATTTTTTCACGCTTTTTTTCTCCCCCCTCCCCTCAAATTGTTTTTTAACGTTCTGACAAAGCAATACATTCTAGCAGACGATGTGGAGGGATTACGACGACGGAAACATATGAATATAAAACAAACTTGAAATAATGATAATGATAATGATGATGATAATAAATTTCACTTTAAAATATTTCTTTTTTTTGCATTCAACGACCTGACAATTAATAAATTTTTTTCTTTAGTCACGACGTATGAGTGCGTGAGTGCGTGCGTGCATGCGTGCGTGAACGCGCGTAAGAGTGCGTAAAAGCACGAAAATATCCTCGCACGATAAATGCGTAATTTATCAATTTAGAAAAAAAAAAAAAAAAAAGAAGAAAAAAAAACGGAAGAAGGTATTTTAGTCGGTACTCGAGGGCAATAATCTTAGAAAACTGATACTAAATTGCCGCGCCCTTGAAAATATTGTTGTTTGTTGTTGTTATTTGTTGCCTTTTGCAAAATATTTAAATAAAAAAAAAAAACGAATGCGTTTTTGCGTTGAGTTTAAAAAAAAAAAAAAAAAAACCGTTACGTGATAATTTAAGTTCCAATATGAAACGTCAATGGGGTACCTTGTTTTTTTTTTTTTTTTTTTTTCCATCATCACCACCGGAACTAATCCGTATGACTTTAACCGTTCTTGATGGATGGTTTGGCTAGTACCACGACGACGATTTGTACGCGTACACGAATGTAGGTGTGGAAGCCCAAAATTTTTCTTTCCAACATTACATCCTATCGGGTATTATCATCCGTTTGTTAGATTTGGGTACGAGAGAGAAAGAGAGAGAGAGATAGACAAACAAACAAGGTATTCACATTGTTTAAAAATTATTATCATCATTAACACGCTCGTGGAAAAGAATGTTGAGGAAGAAGAAGAAGAAGAAGAACAACAACAACAACAACGCGTTGTTATCTTTGTCAATTTCGGTCATACAAACGGTCATCATCGTTCCAGTATTGCGGTAAATTCTTCGTTGAATTTGATTAAACCTTGAAATAATAATAATAGGGCAAACAACGTTCATCGTCCTACAAACGCAACCGAAAAAAAAAATAAATAAAAACAAACAAATAAAAAAAAAAAAAAAAAAGAAACTTTGGTCTCTTTAAAAAAAAAACTCGGTGGCACTCACGAACTTTGGAATGCGGGAACTTTGCCAGACGTACAGGTATGGTAGTATCTTTTTAGTAGCTTTACGAACTCAATAATGGCCTCCATCAAACAAACGAACAAACAAACAAACAAACAACAACGAGGCTCATACGAACGGACTGTAAATTAACTTTGATTTTTTTAATAACTCTCGAAATTTTTTGTGAATTCCGCCACGTTGATTTTTTTTTTTTTTTTTTTTTTATTATTTAGGTGAGGCCTTTTGTATCGTATTAACTACGACACTCTATAAAAGCCACTCCTGACCCTCGTGGAGACGCCATCTTTTTTTTTTTTTTCCATCGAAACCCAACCGGATATATAACGCACAAAACAAAAAAAAATTTCGTGAAAATTTGCGCCGACCTCATTATCAACATCATCATCGTCGTCGTCGTCGTCGTCGTCGTCGTCGTCGTCGTCGTCATCGTCATCGTCATCATCACCATCATCATCGTCATCGTCATCATCATCATCATCATTATCATCGTCGTCATCTTTATCTTTCCAAAAAAATTTTAATAATCCTAGATCATGGTGACAATTATCAATCATTTCCTCTCTCTCTATCTCATTTTTTTTTTAATTATAAGTAAAATTAATAACTACCGGTTGTTGTTGTTGTTGTAACAAACAAACAAACAACTATCGAGTTAAACCATCGCATTTTATTTTCTCCAGGACTGGAATTTTTTTCACTCGCGACACACTGCTCTAAATAATATTTTTAATAAACCCGACGGATAATAATCGATTCGTATTTCTTATCGTTCCAGGACCGTTACGGTTCTATGATTACCACCGGATGTTCCAGTTTTTTTTTTAAAAGTCCACCAGGAGCAAAGTTGTCGAAGGATGTGGAGAAAGGAAGAGAAGGAGGAAGAAGAAATGTGGGAAAAGGAATTTTTAAGGAGCTGGAGAAACAGGAACTGGACCTGAAGCAGAAGAATCGGGTCATTTTAAAACGATGGATAAATTAAAAATTTCCAAAATGAAAACGAAATCGTCTGCTGGAACAGAAGAAATAACAACTCGAGATCTGGAACGCCTCGCCCAAAAAAAAAAAAAAAAAAAAAAAAAAACAAATAATGATATATTATT